TTGTACTATGGGTACTAGAGAACGGATATAAACATACTTAAATACTTTTTTTTTGTAAATACATACTTATTATACATAGAAAACACCCAGTCCAATACAAACAAATATGTTCATGCACACAAATGTTTGTACTGTGCGGGAATCGAACCCGCAACCTCCGGAATAGTAGTCCGTTTCGAACCACTACACCAAACGGCCGACAAATAATATACATACGACGTCATAATGTAATACCTAAGTATTAACAGATCGTGCAATTTAAGTCATGCGAGTATAGACTTCGTGTCTAAAGTTAATTTCTATTTGAATGTTTTTACGTTATGCTGATAAAAAATAAGTAATATTAAATCCCAGAAAAAATAAAATGCCTAGGTTCTAGTAAATCGCAAGAACCAAAGTGACCGACATAGCTCACAGAATTGCTAAAATCAAGTGGCAGTAGGCGGGGCACAAAGCTCGTGCAGACGATGGCTCTCTATAAGTTCTCGAGTGGCGACCACAGGCTGGGAGACGTAGCGTGGGCAGGCCANGCAGGCCTCCCACTAGGTGGACCGACGATCTGGTAAACGTCGCAGGAGGAACCTGGATGCGGGCAGCGCAGGACTGCTCGTCATGGAAATCCTTGAGGAAGGCCTTTGTCCAGCAGTGGACGTCATTTGGCTGAAACGACGAGGTTCTAATGAAAATAACAAAATCTCTCTTTTAAAAACTTTGACAATTATTTTGCAAATCCTACTAGTTTTTAATTGTAATTAGTATTTTACAAATATACAGGTGCACTTAATTATGAACCTAAATAAGTGTCAACCTCTAAAAATACTTTAAGATTACAAATTTTCTTATACTTATTAAGTACTATACAAACCACAACTAATAATGACGACAATATGTTAAAACAACAACTGTTAAAAATGCCTTCTTATGAACATACTTATAGCAATCATTGTTAAATTAATTTACTAATGCAAAGAGATCTAGTTCTTATTATTTTAAATAATTAATGCATTTGTTTCTAAAAAACTGCCTACTAGAATCTTATTATGTCTACCCTTAATACGGCTTTTATCTTGACTGATTTCGTTTATCAGACAATAGCTTCTAACGCGTTTTCAGTAATATAGGTGACTCACGTATTCGAATCCTTGATATATAGCACGCCCATAACTGACCGGCATGCAGTAGCTGAGCTATAACCGTGCCGGCCCGACCTGCGCGAGTAGTCGCACCGCAACCCGCACCGCCACCACAACCATGATTGTCGTCGCGCTCGTGGCCATCGCGCTTGTTGCGCTTTACTTTTACAACGTCAGAAACTTCAACTACTGGAAGGAAAGAGGAGTAAAACATGAAAAACCAATACTATTATTCGGCACCAACGCCAAAAATTACCTGCAGAAGCAAAGTGTCACAGAAAATTTAATGGAATTGTATTGGAAGTATCCCGACGAGAAAGTGGTCGGATTTTACAGATCCACAGACCCATGTTTGCTAGTGAAGGACCCGGAGATTATTAAGCGGGTCCTGCAGACAGACTTCAGCATGTTCTACCCTCGGGGCTTGAACCGTGTGAAAGGGCACGAGATCGAGCCGATGCTGCGCAACCTGTTCTTCGCGGACGGCGACACGTGGCGCCTGCTGCGGCAGCGCATGACGCCGGCGTTCACGAGCGGCAAGCTGCGCGCCATGTTCCCGCTCATCGTGGAGCGCGCCGAGAGCCTGCAGGCGCGCGCGCTGGCCGCCGCCGCCGCCGGCCGCACGCTCGACGCGCGCGACCTCATGGCGCGCTACACCACCGACTTCATCGGCGCCTGCGGCTTCGGCCTCGAGGCCGACTCGCTCAACGAGGACGACTCCGCCTTCAGGAAACTCGGAGCGAAGATATTCCGATTTAGCGTAAAGGACGCTATTATTATTATGCTTAAGGATTTCTTTCCGCACCTACTTAAACGTGTTCACACTCTTAAAAGGGTTGAGGGTGAAATGACTGATCTAGTTAGAGTTATATTAAAACAAAGAAATTACCAGCCATCTGGCAGAAATGACTTCATTGACTTATTGCTAGAATGCAAAAAGAAAGGTACGTTGGTTGGGGAGTCTATAGAAAAAAGGAAAGCGGACGGAACACCTGAAACCGCGACTTTAGAACTGGACGACGTTCTCATGACTGCTCAAGTGTTTGTGTTTTTCGCCGCGGGCTTCGAGACGTCGTCGTCCGCGACCAGCTTCACGCTGCACCAGCTGGCGTACCACCCAGAGGTGCAGAAGAAGGTGCAGGAGGATATAGACAGGGTGTTGGCCAAACATGACAATAAACTGAGCTACGAGGCTGTCAAAGAGATGACGTATTTGGATTGGGCCTTCAAAGAGGGTATGAGGATGTTCCCCTCGCTCGGATTCTTGGTTAGGAAATGTGTGGGGAAATACACAATTCCCGAGATAGGACTGACGATAGACGAAAAAGCTAGGATTTGGATTCCTGTTCAAAGCTTGCATATGGACCCGAAGTACTTCGACAACCCTGAGGAGTTCAGGCCAGAGCGCTTCCACCCCGACTCATACGACAGTGCAAACTTGAAGTATGTGTATCTTCCGTTTGGAGAAGGGCCCCGTGCTTGTATAGGTAAGTAATTTCATTTTATTATTTACATACTCGTATGATTAGATAGTTTGATGAAAGTTTACAATAAAATCTTGCAAAAAATTATTGTTAAAAACAATATTTATAATATTTCCATGAGTAGGCAGGTGCACTGCAGTCCAACACTTCAAACTCGGCACGCGTAACAAAATCTCTGTTTATTACTAAACAAGGCATAAATTTGCCTTTTGTAACGTGTTGTGAGCAGTAACGTAAAACAATAATAATAATCCTAATTATACGAAAAACAGCGAAACCAATACTTCCGCGTATAATTTTAGCCGCGCGTCTTTTTATGACCCCACAAAAAGGTAAACAAGGAAGACCTTGAATGTTTTAATGACATCTAAAAATATGGTTCGTTAATATTATGCCAGCAGTTGTAATTTTTCCAAGAAATCATAATAATTAAGGAAAACATACGTGGATAGCTCATGCCTACCTACTACTCGTAAATGCAGAATATTAAATTACCCATACAGGAATATCTACTAAAATTAAATAATTATTGTTTTAATTCGATGCAAATATTATCATAAAATACCACTATATCAATATCATTCAGCATCAATTCAAAAGCTTTTTGCAGTCCAAAATGCATTCTGTTAACTGAAATCCCGGAAACATTCTTTAGAAAAAGTGTTGTAGTAGATATAATGTGAGGGTTAGGCTTAATGTGGAGTAGATTGTATAGAAGCTTTTTTAAACCGGTGACTGAGTTTGTTGCGGCGCTACTTCTCACCACTTGCCAAATGTTGGTCTCGAAGCGCTAGTAGGGCAAAAAAATTATGAGACATGTAAAAGCTTATGAAATATTATGTCTGAAGCGAAACGATTTAAGTGTATATGGCGATAGGGAGACTTCCAATACTTTCAAGGGCAAAATTTTAAGTTTTTATGATTGTGTTTGTTTTAGGCGAGCGGCTCGGGCACATGCAGTCGCTGGCGGGGCTGGCGGCGATACTGTCGAGGTTCACGGTGGAGCCGGCGCCGGAGACGGTCCGCAAGCCGGCGGTGTCTCCCAACGCAGGCATCGTCCAGAGCATCCAAGGAGGCATCCCGCTGCTGTTCAAAGAACGGAAAATTAATAAATTATAGTTTTAATCTCATCCATGTTATAGTTAAGTTTGTGGTCTCTTTTAAACGCTGTAGACCGTTTCACAATGCTTCTATGGAAATATCACAAATTGTGACGCGGCCTACGGCATTTATAGGAAAATGAAAATTATTTATTTATTCGTCAGGAGACCAAAAGCGTATAGACTTTTTTAAAAATCTAATGCCGTAAGGTGGGAATCGGACCTACTATCAATCGCTTGCCGGGAGATTACTCTGACTTTTGAATTACTTGTGAGTTCGATTCCCACCTTGAGCAATTCGATTTTTTCAAATTATTAAAATCTAGTTTGTAATGAAACTCTCATAGTTAACAAAATATTATTATTAACTAACGCTAATGGATTTTAGCAAAATTAGACAAACAGAGACAGAAATATCACAGTGATTAGACATCACTGAGGCTGAGTTGCACCACCTAACTTTAACGGTAACTATGACGATAACCGGTGCTTTTTCTATGGAGTTTGACAGATTTTTGACGTTTGTCAAAGTTAAAGTAAGATGGTGCAACTCACCCTGAGACAGTTGAGTCTTTGTTTCGCAATCATTTGTTTACGAGATTGTAAAAGTCTATTGCCACGGATTATTATATCTTTTGCATTTATCTAATGTAATGGATAACGACTGAACAAATAGGTACCTTTACAATTACATTAAGAAATGTTTTTGTTAAATAAAAATTTATAATGTGCATTGTCTATTTAGAAAATCCTATCTTTCTAATTTTAATAGGCCAAATATTACTAGTGATTTCAAACATAAAGTTGAAACTGAGATATTGCTTATCTCTACATATTATTTTATACTAGCTAGACGATGTCCCACATACTCGTAAATGAGAGATTTCGATTGATCGGAAAGTAATTCAGGCACTTTACAGTAACCCAAAAAAACAAAGGAAATACAATTTCGGAAACGAAGCGTTTTCAGGAATTGAATGATATTTAAATTATGTTATTGGTTAGTATTAGGGCATTAAAGCTAGGCGCAGACCACCGACTTTTTGTTGGCAGACAGTTCGGCCGGGCTGTTAATCTGAATGGACTTGTATGAAAGTGCGCACCAATTTGGTATCGGCTGATTCTTCGTACAAATAAGAATTGGACCCAACTATCAGCCAACTAAAAGTCGGTGGTCTGCGCCTAGGATTAGGCTAGCCCTGGTAACAGATATGCCTGTCATACCATAATAAGGATGTAGGTATTAACTGCTATGGCAACTGTCATTTAGTCGTTTTTGTTTCCATTTACAACATTGTTTTGTTTCCTCATACATTATAAATTAATAGAAGCGTAGTTACCTCTCTGTTCTAAACAATGGAACAACATGTACCTACTTATCTGATAACAGTCTAGAAAATGATCCTCTTGCCACAGATAGTAATATGATTGCGGCTTAATAGCTCAACAGATGCTCAAGCAGGCTATGTTGTTTAGACTTATTAAATTATGTTAATATGTGTTTAGTTCTTGGTATCTCTATGTAGGTACTCATGGCATTAATCTGGTTCACCATAAAAACAGTACCTCGGATCCTTAAAGGTCTTCTATTGTGAATTTCAATAAATTTTATCCCACCAAAAACATTCTGTAAAAAACAAGCCAAGTCTCGATGGAGCTGCTTGTTTATCTCTAAAAAGTAATGAAATCTAGACAAAGTCGTGCCAAGTCTATGGTTCCTTACTGCGATTTCTTNGTGTATCTGCCGTTTGGAGAAGGGCCCCGTGCTTGTATAGGTAAGTAGGTAATTTCATTTTATTATTTACGTATACTCGTATGATAAGATAGTTTGATGAAAGTTTACAATAAAATCTTGCAAAAAAATATTGTTAAAAACAATAAATAATATATCCATGAGTAGGCAGGTGCACTGCAGTCCAACACTTCAAACTTGGGCAAGCGTAACAAAATATCTGTTTATTACTAAAAAAGGCATAAATTTGCCTTTTGTAACGTGCTGTGAGCAGTAACGTAAAACAATAATAATAATCCTAATTATACGAAAAACAGCGAAACCAATACTTCCGCGTATAATTTTAGACGCGCGTCTTTTTATGACCCCACAAAAAGGTAAACAAGGAAGACCTTGAATGTTTTAATGACATCTAAAAATATGGTTCGTTAATATTATGCCAGCAGTTGTAATTTTTCCAAGGAATCATAATAATTAAGGAAAACATACGTGGATAGCTCGTACTACTCGTAAAAGCAGAATATTAAATTACCCATACAGGAATATCTACTAACATTAAATAATATACCAATAGTATATCAATATCATTCAGCATTAATTCAAAAGCTTTTTGCAGTCCAAAATGCATTCTGTTAACTGAGATCCCAGAAACATTATTTAGACAAAGTGTTGTAGTAGATATAATGTGAGGGTTAGGCTTAATGTGGAGTAGATTGTATAGAAGCTTTTTTAAACCGGTGACTGAGTTTGTTGCGGCGCTACTTCTCACCACTTGCCAAATGTTGGTCTCGAAGCGCTAGTAGGGCAAAAAAATTATGAGACATGTAAAAGCTTATGAAAATAATAATATTATGTCTGAAGCGAAACGATTTAAGTGTATATGGCGATAGGGAGACTTCCAATACTTTCAAGGGCAAAATTTTAAGTTTTTATGATTGTGTTTGTTTTAGGCGAGCGGCTCGGGCACATGCAGTCGCTGGCGGGGCTGGCGGCGATCCTGTCGAGGTTCACGGTGGAGCCGGCGCCGGAGACGGTCCGCAAGCCGCCGGTGTCCGCTAAGTCCGGCATCGTCCAGAGCATCCAAGGAGGCATCCCGCTGCTGTTCAAAGAACGGAAAATTAATAAATTATAGTTTTAATCTCATTCATGTTATAGCTAAGTTTGTGGTCTCCTTTAAACGCTGTAGACCGCGTTACAATACTTCTATGGAAATATCACAAATTGTGACGCGGCCTACGGCATTTATAGGAGAAAATGAAAATTATTTATTTATTCGTCAAGAGACCAAAAGCGTAATAGACTTTTTATAAAATCTTGAAAAATCTAATGCCGTAAGGTGGGAATCGGACCTACGACCAATCGCTTGCTGGGAGACTACTCTGAATTTTGAATTACTTACTCGTGAGTTCGATTCCCACCTTGAGCAATTCGATATTTTCAAGTTATTAAAATCTAGTTTGGAATGAAACTCTCATAGTTAACAAAATATTATTATTAACTAACGCTAATGGATTTTAGCAAAATTAGATAAACAAAGACTGAAATGTCACAGTGATTAGACATCACTGAGGCTGAGTTGCACCACCTAACTTTAACGGTAACTATGACTATAACCGGTGCTTTTTCTATGGAGTTTGACAGATTTTTGACGTTTGTCAAAGTTAAAGTAAGATGGTGCAACTCACCTTGAGACAGTTGAGTCTTTGTTTCGCAATCATTTGTTTGCGAGATTGTAAAAGTCTATTGCCACGGATTATTATATCTTTTGCATTTATCTAATGTAATGGATAACGACTGAACAAATAGGTACATTTGCAATTACATTAAGAAATGTTTATGTTAAATAAAAATTTGTAATGTGCATTATCTATTCAGAAAATCCTATCCTTCTTATTTTAATACGCCAAATATTACTAGTGATTTCAAACATAAAGTTGAAATTGAGATCTTGCTTGTCGATGCGATGTCCCATATGAATGAAAGGTGTTGGTTGGTTGGAATTTACTTACTTCAGGTACTTTTCACTTATCCAAGAAAAAGGAAAATATGTTTCAGGAGACTCGGCGTTTTTAGGAACATAGTCATAGTCATAAATATTGATTGTATCATTTATAGGTAATGGATGTATTTAGACATGTTATTGGTTAGTATTAGGGCATCAAAGCCAGCCCTGGTAACAGATATGCCTGTCATACCATAATAAGGATGTAGGTATTAACTACTATGGCAACTGTCATTTAATTTAGTCGTTTTTGTTTCCATTTACAGCATTGTTTTGTTTCCTCATCTATACTACCTAATATTATAAATGCGAAAGTAACTCTGTCTGTCTGTCTCGCTTTCACGCCTAAACCACTGAACCGATTTTGATTAAATTTGGCATAGATATAGTTGGAGACCCGGGAAAGGACATAGGATAGTTTTTATCCCGGTTTTTGAAACAGGGGCGCCGCGATAAAGTTTTTCTGTGACAGACAAAATTCCACGCGGGCGAAACCGCGGCCTGAAAGCGAGTACATTATAAATTAATAGAAGCGTAGTTACCTCTCCTAAACAATGGAACAACGTGTACTTAACTGATAACAATCTAGAAAATGATCCTCTTGCCACAGATAGTAATAATTATGATTGCGGCTTAATAGCTCAACAGATGTTCAAGCAGGCTATGTTGTTTAGACTTATTAAATTACATTATGTTAATATGTGTTAATTATTATTAAATTACATTATGTTAATATGTGGAATTAGTCTGGTTCACCATAAAAACCTTACCTCGGATCTTCAAAGGTCTTCTATTGTGAATTTTAATCAATGTTATAATCGGTAGATCATGTTGATGTTACTTGTATATTAATGAATTTCTTAGTCATCTGATATGTTACAGTAATTCAGTGATAATACTTGTATTATATTATCTTTATCTTACAATCACGAAATATTTTTTAAGTAAAACAACAAGGCGATTAAAATATTATTATACTTAGGTATTTTATTTTTTTCATTCAAATACTGCTATGCATGACGCTTTTACAAATATTTAAACACATAAAAAATTATTTTATCCTTTAATTATCCACTCGGTTCGAAAATAACTGATTTTACTTTGTGTTTATTGTTAACAAATTGCAAACAAATTAATATTACACGTGCTATCCATTTGTGCCTTCTTATTTATTTTAACCGCAACGAGTATCATTTTATCAACCCAGTAGTGTAGCCTATGTCAATGTTACATAGGTATTTAGCTCGGATGTAGGTATAACTTGTAACCTAAACAGTTTTAGTATTTTTCCATAAAGAAACTGCGTAAATTTTTGCCAGTAAATAAACCTGTCCTCATGGCTTTGAGTGAAGGTTTTCCAGTTTTTGTACAAAAACTATTATTGTAGGTACTCGTAAGTTGTGTATTAAACAAAATACATGCACACAAAGACTTTGCTCTACATCCTGTTTCTGTTGTATTTTTTTTACCTTCAGATTCTAAGATAATAATGCGATACGAGGAAGAAAAGAAAGCAGGTACTCGTAATATTACATAACTGAAAATTCCATTTAGCCTGCTGTCCAATCAAAATCATCTGAAACTAGGTGGAATATTATTTTACATTGTTCTCGTGATTTCTATTTATTTCGATAAGATTAATTAAATTACTATTTTCATTATGTGTCAGTATCCTATTTTAAAACTAGGTATTACTTATGTTTTCTTATTTTGTATGGTAGAATCAATTATTGTAAGATATTTTTATTAATCAGCTGATTTGCTTTTTTTCTAAAACTTATCTATTTTCATTTTATTTCAGGGTTTTCTTTGATGAACTACGAGCATAGCTCTAACGTAAAATGGTACTCTTTGTTTATTTTAGTTTGATTTCTCTGATTTTGTCAAGTCATTCCCCCTTCAAACTGCACACTTTGGTTCGACAAATATAATTTAAGTAACATTAACATAACATTACATAATTTTATTATCTGCGTGTGATCTAGAGACTAGCGCATTGTTGTAGACCTGCTACTGCGCAGTTGATAGCAGTCAAAATACAACTCATCATTATACTCAGTCGACCTTCTGATTTTAATCGTTAAATGTTATTTAAAATCATGTTTATTTTTTAGTTACATGATTCCTAAATATCACATCATTCCTATTTTCTATTTATAACTTTATAAATTGTAGGTGTTACTAATGGAGGGACTCAAATATGTACCTATGTATGTTTACAATTGAAGTTGTACAATAATGAAGATTGATTATCACGCCATGACCCTGTTTTAAAAATAGATTGTGAATCGAGTTCTTAAGATTATTATAGATTTATAATTTATTTTATTCGTCTATGTTCAATTGCTTGCTTGATAAATCAAAGATTATTAACAGCAACAAGTTGATTAATTAGTAGCAATCCATATCCGCGAATGACGAATACACGAGCTATTAGACGATAAAGTAGACATTGAACTTGCAAAACACTCTGATTTTTAGATAACGATACATTTGTAATTAACTATCTACGTACAATATTTTACTCGTAAGATGCCTAGTTAGGAATAACTTTTCCTTAACTTAGTTTTGTTTGCACAAAAATAAGCAGTGATCATATTGTTCAATAATATATTCAGTCCATAGGCCCAGGGCGGTTATACTCATCCCAAATAATAGCTTGCCCTACCATACCAATAAAATTTTGTGTGTTCTATGTTCTTTCCTATCGACTGTAAAAACATCCATAGTCACACTTTTTAAAGTAGTAAAAGCTGAAGCTGACAATGACCAATGCGTTTGCATTGAAAATAAATCATTGTTCTTTCCATTAAAAATTAAGGATAGAGGATTAGCGAGGATATGTTTTTCAACAAATAAATGGTTAAATAAAATGAAGTGTAATAAAAATAATTATTATTGAGTTACTGAATTTTAATTTGATTTTGTACGTGTTAGTTTAATTATGTTGACCCCACCAAAAAAGGTTCCGTTACCAGCCAGATCGGAGCAATGTTTTGTTAATTATTTCCGCACGTGTATTTCCTATTTATATTTGCGCGGCACATTTCCCCGTCAACGAGTATGACGGGGAGCCGTGCGATTTCCCCATAGACCCCGAACGATTCGGGCACAGAGCAAACACGAATGTCCGTATCGAAAACAGGTTCTATCCAAAGTAGCAATTAATTGATTGCGCCAGATAGTGCTGTCTAGTTGATAACAACGATAAAATAGTCAAAATTTGGGACAGCATTACATACAATTGAGTCACTAATCCCTTAACAAGGCTTATTAACAAGTGAAACAACCGTGGAATATTTTACATCAATATTGTGTTTGAGATAATGATAAATAATAATCATTATTTATTAATAAATGTATACATAATTATATTAATTAATAAATGATAAATAATAATTACACGTAGCGTGGGCAGGCCTCCTACTAAACGTAGGCACTTGAAATTTATAAGGGACGTAGCTTAGGCACCGTAGAGGTGCACTAAGAAAGGAATTACCGAAATTCCCACAGGAACAGGAATTACCGGGAAAATCCTTTTGTATGAAAAATCTAAACCGCTTAAGTTAGACGCTTGAAATTTGGCATGCAGGTCCCTTAGTAAACTTAAAGCTTAGTTACAACAGGATATTGCGAAATTCCAACGGGAACGGGAGTTAGCGGGAAAAAACATTTGTATGAAAAAATCTAAACCGCGTAAGATAGATTAAGGGGGTAAAACGGGATCCACGCGTACGAAGTCGCGGGCGGCCGCTAGTATATTAATAAATAAATAATTGTTTATGTACTTCAGTTATCTCTACCACAAAATTGGTATAAAATATTCCACGTTTGTTTTAGATAAGTGTTTTAACGCGAATACAGATAGGATCTCTGGCAGGTGTCTACATCTACTACGAAACATTGCTTGAAAATAATTTAATATGATAAGTGATTAAAATCTATAATTAGTAGGTATAAATACGATTATTCTGTACTATAATATCCTACACAGTGAAATCTATAGACACATTAAAAATAGAAAAAAAATGTGTTTTGACTTCAATCAAAAGATCAGCGGCAAAATTTCAGCAAAAAAACTTTGCTCGTTAATTAAATATCAAATGAAAAGCATTTGAATTTCATTCAATTTTAACACTAAAACACAATTATTTAAAAAAAGTCTCAAATTAAATTCATGCTACATAAAATTGCATCCAAAGTGGTCAACTGACTATACAGTCGAATGCCTACATTGTACACATCATAATATAGTCTATCAGAGGCTGTAAAGAGATAAATGGT